CCCCCATTGGTGTTTGCCATCGGGGTTGGGTTTTCGTCGCTTGGCAACGACGTAGTAAAACAAGCCAATTCAGATCCTGAGCTCGGCAACCAGGTTACCGTTTCTTTTTTACTCCCGGTGTTTCTTGGCTGTAACCATAATGGTGGTCGAGTAGATCATGTTGTGCGGGTGGAGAACCCTCACTCCGCGCAAGGGGGATGATCGCACCACGTTGTGTTAAAATGGTCAAGTACCCGCGAGGAAGTTACACAGTTAGGGGTGTCAAAGCGGCGGAAATTGGGGCCAAAAAAACGTCTGGTCCATTTGGCAAAATTTGAGGGGGGCACGCGGATTTGTTGTTGTTGTTGTTGAGAATCCCGCTGTTAATACTGAATAAACTATACATCAAGTCAATGTGTTTGTGCAGGCAGCTCTGCGTCCAGACAGCAGCATGGCTCTTCATGCGTTACACACACCTGGGCACAGGTCCAATAGAGGTGACTGCGAGCTCGGTTGTTACTTAAGTTCAAAGGGCGGACGAACAACACCAAAAAACATGTTTTTTTTGGCTCTTTGCTCCACGCCCAAGGCGACCTTTGCTCCTCTCGTGAAAGCGAGCTCGCAGTCCTCTACCTTGGGTTTACACCTATACAGCACAACAAACCGCGCCCNGTTACTTAAGTTCAAAGGGCGGACGAACAACACCAAAAAACATGTTTTTTTGGGCTCTTTCCTCCACGCCCAAGGCGACCTTTGCTCCTCTCGTGAAAGCGAGCTCGCAGTCCTCTACCTTGGGTTTACACCTATACAGCACAACAAACCGCGCCCGAATCGCGTCAGCCAACCCCGAGATCTGCATGTCCGAAAACGGCCCCTCCAGTGGGGCTGCAGCGCCCACACCAGCAGACCCTCCCAAAAACAAAAATCGAGGTCCGCGCCGTTCGGCAGCAGGAGGCGCGCTGCGCCAAAGCTGAATCAAAACAAAACAAAGTTTGAAGAGAGGACGGGGCAGTGTATGGTTGTCGCGTCAGCAGAAGATAACACGCGGCGCGCTATCGAACGCGGCAGCCTCACCATCGTAGAGAGAATGCTGGAGGAAACGAAGGAGGAGTGGGTCAAAAGTAAGAAAATTGTGGAAGAGAGCCAGGCTCAACCGCGCTGCCGCCGCCGCCGCCGCTGCTGCTGCTGCTGCTGTTTTTTTCAGCAGCAGCAGCGGCGGCGGCAGGTGTCTGCGTGGCTTCACCGCCCGGCTGCTGCTCGGGTGTGTCATGAGGCATGTGTTCTAGAGTGAGACAGCGCAATGGTGTTGTGCTGTGCCCCATAGCAGGGCGTATAGCACACTGGCGAGCTGCGCCCTCGCGCGTGTGCGTCAGAGGGTCTTTTCGGGAGGCTCCGACGGTTCCGTGCAATTTCATTGGTTGGTCGATTTTCCATCAGCAAAATCCGAGGACGCTTTTTCGAATTTCCTACAGCAAAAATCTCTGGAAGTGACGCACCAGAAAATAAGTTGAGTCACACGCAGCTGTCATCCGTATAAAAGGAAGTAAGCACAAGATGCTGAACACCCTTAGCAGGATGCAGCGCACCCTTCATGCTGTTCGCCGAATACCTCACGGCGCTTCGCGCTTGGTGATGTGAGAGCCTGGTCCGGTGAGAACCCGGCGTGCTCCGTCCCGGCTTTGTAGGGATGCGAGGTCAATGGTCTAACGACTACGGCATGCACGACTATGAGTNATCTTTATGAGGTCGCGAAGACCTTGAGGATCGGCACGGACAAGGTCCTTGCGGTTAGCACACTCTGGTATGACAAGTAGAAGTTGTACGAGACCAACGGGAAGGGGCGAGGCAAGGCCACCAGCGTCGACGATGGGCGGCGACATGTCATCACCAAGGAGCAAAAGGATGGGCTGCGCGAGTTCATCAAGGGCGAGCAGGAGGCGGGACGTGAGGGCTTCCGCCGTACCGTCAAGGAATACTTCGAGTGTTCGTGCGGATTGTTGTTTTTGTTGTTGTTGGTTGTCTTCACATTAAAAACCGATCCGATCTCTCTCTACCCAGTACCTTCGAATGTCCGTACTGATACAACACTCGACGCGGTCGATTCCCGTGGTCGCAGGCTAACTTACCCTAAAAAGGTACACTCAAATAAAATGGCCCCGAGGGGTCCGCAAGTCAATAGAAATCAACGACAGATATTCTGGAGTCCTCCACTCCCTCTGCGCGCTATGCGAGGTAACAACTGAGACTAGGAGTCACCATCACGGGCCGGAGAGAATGAGGTACACCCCCTTGGTTCAATCTTGGTACTTCACAACGCAAGCAGAGACAAGGCCATCTGGCACAGAAAAAGAAAGACAAAGAGAAAATGAGAAAAAGAGAAGAAAATAAAAGGAAACAGTAAGGAAAGAGAAAATGAAATAAAAAGAGCGAGGACGAAAAGGGACCAGGCCGAAAATAACAAGAAATAAGAGACAGAAAAAGGCACACGGTGGAGGGACCACTAACGACAAGCAAACACGCAAACATGGCCACCAACCAGCGATACATTGTAATGGTATGTCATCACTAGTGGGGGGGTTGGTGCAATGGTGCAGCGTTGGCGGGGGGGGAATTGGCTCAAAGAAATTCAATCCGGCACGTATCGCGCCACTCGGTCCGTCTCTTCTCGTTTGCTTTTTTCCCTCGCCGTCTCGTCCGTCTCCTGCCCCCCTCCCGCCCCATTGGTTGGTGGCT